CACTGTGAAACAAAAAAAAATTATTAGGATAATATCACTGTCATATTTGGTCAGCAACCACTAAACAGAAACATAGTCATCTCACCACGCCCCTTCAGATGATACTGCTCTGTACATATGTGTAAATTCCCAATTTAGCAGTATACATTTGATTGCCAAAATTCTGTATGTAAACAAATTTTCATTGGTGATACCAAACACCAGTCCTCAATTTGTCCCTTTACCAGATTTATTATTACCAACAGTAAAAAAAAGGTTACGTGCTACTCATCTGTTTACCTCAATAAACTTCAAAAAATTACATATTTGGTGGGCTGCGAATACACAGCATTCGCCAAGTGTACACCTGGTTCGTAGTTAATGACAAAGTACCTACACAGTGTTCTGTGAAGTTTTGGAAAAACATGTCATGGGGGGCATGGTATAGATTTAAATTCTCTTTTTTCTTCTGTAGGGGCTAGAATTTTGCCAACATCACCACTGGTACAGTCTCAGACATGAAAGTGTTTGCATCTATCAGCTATGAAGTCAGTACTACAAGCACAAAATTTTAAGATCATTTCCATTTTTTTTTCGTTCTCTAGAATATAATTTCAAAATCCACTATCTTGGTAAGGGGCAATGTAGGACCCATGTTTATTTTTTTCATGCTGTTTTTTGATCTACTTTATGCTGTAGCAATACTGATATGTTTTGCTGAAACTACCACTATACGCACTTTGGGATGAAGTAAACATGACCACAAACTTTATTTATTATAATTTTTAACATCTGTAATTTTTTTTATCAATCCGCCCCGATGTTCAGCTCTAAACTGTCATGCGTAAGCAAGCGCAAATAATTTTTCATACAACTATCACCGAACCATCTGCCCATACCATTACGATATAAATATCGACTATTGACTTTTGTACAGTATCGATGGCTCGTACCAATCTTCTAATTCCAGCTGTAGCGATCAGCTGACCAACGCTAGTGATCCGAATGGTTGGTTCTTAAGGAAAGGTTCAATATATTGAACTTTATTTTAAGAAGTGACTTTGAATTAAGAAAACGACCATAACCTCAATATATTTAGTCATTTATGCAAAAATGAACTGAGTTGGATACTTACTGCAACGTCATCATTAGGCGCCCCTCTGGCGATGTCCGATTGCGTTCAGGTGACTTCTGCAGGTACCTCTTCAACAAGCTCAGGAGTTGATACCAGCGCGGCTTTTCTTTTTTTTTGCTTTAGGCATGGCCGTCCTCAATTAATCGCACAAAAAACAAGTCCAAGGCAGAAAAATACACCCGAAGATGAACACCAAAACAAATCTCTACCGCAAATTCGTCAACAACTCAAACAAAAACAACAGATGAGTCACCGCCTGGCTTTCTCGGTAAATCGTCGTTTAACACGAGACACCACAGAATTATTATAATTACGTCAATACGAGCATAGAACAGTATGGAAAGGGCTATCCAAGGGTAAGACGAGTTCCGAAACCACCCGAATCATGTCAAAAATGGGTGTGACGTCACCAAAACGTTTGACCACCACTGGAAATCACTAGCTAGTTACTATCTGGAGGCGTAACATGTGGAGGACACTGGTGTAGAAACAGCTGATCCTTAAGTTCGGTTACGTTAAGTCGTGCATGAACCCGACATAAGGCCCATCAATTTGTCTTCTAAGCTATATCTGCATCCCTGTGATTTACTACCAGTCAGTGTGATCTGGCTTTTGATAAAAGTAGCTATAGTGCTGTCCAATTGCTGCAATGCCTCATTTAATACTTCTCTTGTACTTCTGGTACTTCTAATCAACCTTCTTGTATATCCTAGTCTTCTGTTAGCTCTAGAGAGGTGACTGGCTATCTTATATAGGTTTTTAGCTTTGTGTTGTCTGCCAATGCCAAACCAGGAGGGTGGAGCAGGAGACAACACAAAGGTGCATGTAGCCTCACCAGTCATGAAAAATATGCATGTATATGTTTGGATTTACTCTTCCTTCGATAAACAGACTATAGTTATGTAGTATCAATCAGTTGTACTAAACACTGTTGAAAGTCACTACTTATAACAGTTACCAAAAAGTTGAATATATGTAAGTGAAGTTGAGATATGTAAAATTGGGTGATTGGCTGGTCCGCAAGTCCACGTAGCACAAAAGCCATAAAACACTCTTTCATCTGCCACATTGACGTTAAACATATGATTTTATTAGTGTGTCAAATGTTGAAATTGTCGCCATTGCTACATCGGCAATCCTGGCCGCACATGCGCATTAAATGCTCATTTTCTCAAGTTAAGTTGCGTTAAGTCTTGCATGAACCCACCATAAGAGACCGATAGTTTATTTTTACGTAAAAACGAATGCTTTTTAAATTATCACATTTGACTTACCTAAAAGATTGTTATGTCGATACAGCGGTTGGCTTTATCCACTTGTCCTAGCAAAAAGCATGCCATTTTAATCTTTACGTATTGATATTTGGATGCAATATAAAATTGCCAATCTTACAACACAATTGTTGTTCCTTTTTCCCTGAAACGGTTAATGACATTTTGTATATATTATATTAAAGAGTACGAAATGTTGGCTAAAGCTTTAAGCTATTTCATCAGCGTGAGTCGGGGCAAAATATCTTCTTAGGATCAGTTTTTCTGTTTTCTACATCATTTAGAGCAGCTTCATAAACAACACACTCAGTCAGTTACTTACGTAAACGATATTTCTGTTCTGAATAATCATTTACCTTTTATCCTTATTGATATTTTCCTAAGATGTCTTGCAACTGAACATCTATTTTTACAATATGCTCCATTTTATTTTTCTGAAACAGTTGTTATACTGACTATTTATACTCAAAATATATTTACCAGGATATTTTTTAACAGCACAACGTGATCTATCACTACATGCATTTTCTTTAAGATTGACGGGTGGTCAAATTTCTTGTTTTGTGCCTTGTACATTGAGCTTCATTAGATAATCAGATTTAGGTCATCTCTATGAATGAAACTGTCTGATTTGTATCGTTAAACTTATAATTTATATCTGTCGTTCAATATCGGAACATAGGCGATATGCCAAATTTAATTAAACCGATCAAAATCTTAATTAGGCCAAAACAGCTAACCAGATTAATTGGCTTTATTGAACTCCAATTTCTAAAATAGTTTACTTAAGTCTACGAGACTAGCTTTATTAAAATAAAACGCAAACGTTTACATTTATTAAGCCGTTGACTTAGATTAACTATACCAATCTTTCAAAATTAATCAGCTATTAAAACGAGTGTATTTGCTCCAAGTAAAATAATTTAATTATATATATTTAACTTGTCTAATTCGTTTAGGTGAAAGTGTTTGCTTCTGAAATATTTCATTTAGATTTGAAAAGGTGTTTGGATAATATTTTTAATGTGAAATAATGCATTGTATTTTACTGAGTGATGTATATTATAACTGTGCTCTGACAAATTTTAGATACTGAAAAACTGGAGAAACTTGATATCAAACTACTGTTGCTTACGGAGCTGACAAAATTTCGATTAATTATACAGTGTCGTTCAAAAGGTACCTAAGAAAAACCAATTTCCAGCCACTTTTTACTTTCTACATCATCTCAAATATTTATTATGTTTGCAAATAAACAAAATTTAGCAGATCATTATTTTCAAATGTGCTTACCTGGCATATTTCCTAAACTGGTTGGTTCAACTTCAATTAGTCAATCTTCTGAATCTAGAGCTTATATGAACTCTCCGTTAGATTCTCATAGACGTTGAATATTTGTATTTCTATTTATCGTATTCAACAGCTATCTCTTACCTCAAATCTTGGAAATGGCACAATAGGTAATTTTTTAAAGAGTGATCTGTAACACTGGCGAAGCTTTTACTCCTTGGCGGTATAAGGAGCTTTAAAGACTTAGATCGTGTTGGATACTCGTGCATCAACAGGCTGTTCATAAGTATCCCTACACGATGACGAATATGGTTCATAATAAAACATAAGGATACGCTTGACCCCTTACAATAACCCGCTCAAAATGTTTTTCTGAAAATGAGCAGTAGACACTGAAAAGAACGATTTTTATTATTTTAGCAGTAAGGTTGTGACGAAACTTCATCAAAATCCGACAGGTGCTTCCTGAGTTATACAGGGGCCAATGATTAGCGGACAAACTGACAAACCGACGGAAATGGGTAACATGGTTCTTAGTTATGTACATGTCATATACCTAACATAAAAAGAAAGAATATGTCGATTTCATAATTTGGAACAAGCTTCACTGAGTAAGAATATCTACAAAAATTCTTATACAAAATATCAAAATATATCTTACATATGATACAGGACAATTCATCAATTTTCCAGTTTTATTCCTTATTTCGTTGTTTCCGTCTCTCCATCTCTTTCTTAACCTGAAACGGGCAGTATTTGTATTTTTGTACGATAAAAAGGCTATTTGTCAATTTTATACCTATTTTCATGTATTTGCTCTTGATGCCAATCGCCCATTCCCTTTGCAGAGCCCAATCGACTCTTTTGTAGGTAAAATACCTAAAATGCGCTCACTAAATTAGTTTTCATATTTTAAATAAACATCAATCTTGAAAACATACCATTTCCAAAGAAACACTATAAAGAGCTCCAATCTATCTGGGCAAGTTCACATATTTCCAGAATGCAACTTCGGAACTAGGTGTCTTTTGTCCCCTCTTGAAACGAACATAACCTAGTGAAAACTATGGCGATGCAAGTTTGTAGCAGCATATGCGGCCGTAGGAATTCTCAGCGGAAGGTAACTTTTGTGTGAAAGCAATACTACCTCCGAAACTTTCTGCAGCACGAGGAAGAGCATATTTTCTCAGGTAGCCAACTCCTAAAGAGCTCCAAAATTGTACAAAAAGAGAAAGTAAAGTATGCAAATCTTAATTGTATGAGTCTGTTTGAATAACTTGATCCCCTTAATGTTTTTGTTCTACGTGTCCGTAGTTAACTTTTATCTCGGACGGGCCAGCTTGTGCAGAACATAATACTTTACGAACCCATTTTCAAAGAAACACTGTAAAGAGCTCCGATCTATCTGGGCAAGTTTACATATTTCCAGAATAGGATCGAAGTACGAATAATAAGTCATATTTGAATACCTTTTCAATACAATATCAATCTTAAAATATACAGTTACCAAGCAGCTTCTAGACAGTAAATGTACTTACTACGGAAAGATCGACTACACAGTGCTTTTCAAAATGGACTCTTCATTCACTAACTTTACAGCCTTTTCTCATTCTCATTCAATCTTCATTTTAGTTCTTCATCATTCCTTCTTTTCGAAAAAAAATCTTTATTTTTGAACCCCCACAATGAGCCCTGCCAATCTGCCGCTCGCTTTGCAAAAACCAATCTAACCTAAAATAAGATATTATGTATTTTGGATATCATAGTCGTATGACATGTACATCATGAAGAACCATTTCGTTCATTTCCGTCGGTCTGTCGGCTAATCTTATAACCGCCTATGACTTGAGAAGTACCGCTCGGTTTTTAATGGGATTTTAAGACAATGTTCCTACACTGCCAAGGACGCAAAGGCTAGTTTTTGAAAATCGACCAAGTGGCAGCAGAGAAAGAGGCCAAAACAAAAAGGATTATTTATTATTATTACATGTTTCAGACAAACAAATTTAGAACAAACAGTCCGTTCGATTCTAACGCTGTTTCCATTTTCAGTTGGTTTCTCACACAAATGTTCATAGTGGACTGACTTGTAATCTAATTGCCTCCTGTGTCCATCCTAAGGTCGGTGAAACTTATCTTCTAACGATGTTGACGATTCTCAGTTCGGAGACTGTGTCACTAAAATGTTGATGCACTACATAAGTTGCAACTCATACGTATATATCTAGATATAACGCCTTTACCAAAATTGGCGAGCCTAAACATTCATGTTTGTACAACGACGATAAAATATTACAACAAACGTACCTCTTCGGTATTTCCTCTTCTATCGTTATCTAAACTCACAGAATGTAGTACTTTGAAGCGGCATTTAAGATCGTGCATATAGTAGCAACTATCCAAGATACAAACAATCAGTCATATCATAAGCTGGTGCGACTATCGTTCTCCAGAGAAGCAATCCTCTATTCTATGGCGTCATTGAATTTCTTGGGTTCGAAGGGTCTCTCACGGAGTATGGTACCAAGAACGTTTCCCTCTGGTTTGAAGACTGTTTCTCACAGCTTCTGCTATGCAGGAGGTACAACTAAGTATATCGAGTTACAACATTCTGATACGCAAAGGTCGGTTAGACTAGGTATAACAGCAATGAAGGATCACAAAAGAAAATTTGGAACTAGTATAATCTATGTTTCATAATTCAAAGACCGTGTCTCACCGAATGTGGCTCACAAAAGTGGCAACTAAAATTATTCATATAGTTGCACCTCACCTCAATAAGACAGCATACTAACTAACGTTGTCGAGAAAAATATGTTTTCATCCTTCATTTCATAGACTATGGTACACATACATTGCAGCCAGGCTTATGCATCAACATTCTGAGTACCAAAAGCTGGTGAAACTGAGTATTTCTCTGTTAAAGTGATAATGGATTACTAAAGATACAACCCTTCAATGTTTGCTCTTTTATCGTTACCTACATTTTTCACTTCGGAGACTGCGTTTCTCAGATTCATGTACACAGAAGGTGAAACTTAAGTCATAGATCCTAGTAGGACCGACCTGTGTTCGAAATCCGGTGAGACTGCGTTGCAGCTATCAAGAAGTATCAAATAAATTGTGAAATTTTCTCTTATATCTTATCTACATTTCCCAACTGGAAGACTTCATCTCACAAATTCCAGTACCCAGAAGTTGCAGCTCGAGGAATTTATATAAGCTACAAAAATCTGTACCCCCAAATCGGTTAGACCTAACCAGAATGAGTTCCACAAAAACAGATATCAATATTATCTCTGCTATTATCATCTACATTGTTCAGTTCGGACTGAATCTTACACATTGTAGTGTACATAAACTACCAATAAAGTCACTTCTATATATAAGTTTTGGTATTTTGTAACCCAGAATCGGCCAGACTGAACATGAAATATTACCAAAGAAACAGACGTTTTCAATATTTTCTTTTCTATCGTTGTAATGCATTTCTCGATTTGGAGACAGTATTTCACAAATTCTCGGACACCAAAAGTGCAACTTTAGTCAAAAGTATAAGCTAGATCATCCTGTCTCCGAAATTCGGTACGACTGTGCGCAGGGATGGAGAATTTTCAAAGATATAGACCTTTTCGACATTTTCTCTTATTTACCTTATGATATTTCGACTCTCCAATTTTGAGACTGTATGTCTCATATTCTGGTGCATTAAAGTTGCAATTGATGTCAGGAATCCCAGTCACAAGGGTTGAGATCGAACATAAAAAATTTTTATACAAGCAGATGATTTGTCAAATCGGAGACTGTAATCAGCGACTACAAAATTTGGATGGTGGTTATTTTGGCAGGTAGAAGATAGCAAAGATGTCTAAAATAGTACCTCAAATTCGTTGAAGTAACGAGCCCAATTTTTTATATTTCTTTCAGAACGGTATTAGAAATGACCTCATCCATTGCAAGGCACTTAGTACACTTTCAAACCCTGCCAGATACCCATGAAACTTTTGGAGTTAAACTTTCGTCATCGTATAAAAGCTGAAATTCATATGTTACTTGGGGGACTATCAAAAGATGTTACCCCAGTAGCAGGCAGCTTTAATCGTTAAGCCTGACACATTACAAGTCTGCCGTAGCTGCGACCGCGAGGCGGTATATATTCAAGTGATTTTGTAGAGATAGTGAGCTTGGTGTTCTGCGATCTATGACTGTGTTGACTGTTGTTTATACTATTGATACAGTTGATCCGGTTTGTCAAAAAATGGTCAATGGTCTGTCAACTACGACATATGAAATATGACAAATACCAGTCTTATTAGTTTGAAGGGGCTCAGCTGCCAAATTATTTTACTGATTCTATAAAAACCTTAACAGGTATCTAATTATCACGTTTAATTATTATTCATAAAATATTATTCATAATTGTACCAGCTTAGTCAAATTGTTACAGAAACTGACGGAGAAGGCGATATTGACATCGATAGTAGTGACGAAGATAGTGAAACACATTGACGACAAAGATAAGAACCATCAAATATTTTTCTATATCCAATAAAACCTTTTTCTACCTTATAATATTAGCTACTGTATATGTAGGCCAAGAACAAAACATTACATCATGAACCACTTGAACCACTTGAAGGTACAATTATCAATTGGTTCATGATGTAAAGTTTTACCTTTCGTTTTGAATATTTTTAATCTGTTTTAATTTGTTCTTGGCATACAGCTGTGTGTAGTTTGAATAATTTTGACTAATGTATCATGTATCCGGCTCTCACCAGGTTACTGGGTGTTTCGCTCATCTTCAACGTAAATAACATTTAGCAACATCCTCACATACTACTCTCCTGATGATGATGGCAAAGACCATTGAAAGCTAGAGAGATTAAAAAAGTATAAAGAGCCCTCCTTGCTTAAATTGTGTCGAAGTTACCCAATAACAATTCATGTTCAAACACGTTTTTATTATAACGCTCGCAAAGCTAATTTTGACAGTTTGTAACTAATCAACAATTCATTTGTTTCCAAGAATGATGCGATACTTTAGGGAATTAAGCCGTTCTATAAAAGACGTGCTAAAACCCGTATGTGTCTGGTATAAAAAAAGCTTATAAAAATTTGAATCTAAATTTGCAGAAATATACAGGGCGATGCATTTGAAATTTTTGAGAAAAACTACAATTTGCGTTATTGACCACCCTGTATGAGAAAAAATTAAAATTCGAAAAAGTAACAAAAAAGATAAGTGTAAGTTTTGTTGATACAAAATTCAGCAGTCTAAATTTCAAAATGGTAGACTGAGGGGTTGCCGAAGTGGGGGATTCTTCTAGGCAAAACACCTTATATGTCAGTAGCTAATGACCAAAACCGCATAGTATGTTAAATCAATTTCCTTCTTTTGACTTAGTTTATCCAAATATGCAATAAAATTTGAGGCATTCCATTTGAAAAATCACAACTTTTATATTTAGGTCGAATTGACCAATATTTTAGAAATGTGCCCTCAAATGTCATGTATAACATCCCATAAATAGATTTTTCCAAAATGTATTTGTTTATGAGTAATATTTCGTCCACACATGGATGGGCCACCCTATATATATGTACATATACAATGTGTTTGGTCACGACATATCGATATTTGAGGGGGATATTTTACAGCTATTTTTATCGACAAATTGACCCCCGATAATGTCCTACCTCACCCCTCTAGAAATGGATCCATACCGCTGGGTATGAAATTAGAGCTGACACGGATATGGTCTGCCGCTCAACACGACACGTTTTAAGAACAACAATGGGCATAACCAATAATGGAGGACATTTTGAACAGCTTGTGTAACATCAAACATGTCCAAACTCTCTATAAGAAACATTGATTTGTCATATTTATGAATAAGAAGAAAAATTAATGTTAGTTTGCTTTATAAATTATGGTCCAAAAATGTTTCCTTGCAAAAAAAAGCTCGGGGTGTTGAAGCTTTAGGAAAAAATGGAAATTAATTAATATTATCAGAACCGCTTCAGATATTTCACTGATATCAAGTACATAGTGAAAGTTAATAAAGTTGCATATTTTTCAATGCAAAAATAATTTTTAGCTTTAACGTGCGTACTTCGATAGTTTTTAAGAAAAATATGGTATACAATGATTTTTTGTCAAATAAAAATTATTGTTGAATTCCCCGTTCATTTTAAAACAAATGATCTCTCTTGAGTTGCTTTCCTTCGATGCGCCATTTTTGAGTAAAAAAATAAAAACCGTTCTATTGCCCGAGAAAATTAATGTAATAATTATTGAAGAATGGAATTTAGCAATAAATATCTAGTTGCTTTTGACATCTGACAAGTCTCGTTATTCAAATCTGTTCGCTGTGACATCTTTTTCATTATTTAGTTTTTACAATCTTGTTAATAATGGTGAACTACTATGCAGAAATGGCGGAAATGAATTGTTCTTGCCGACGGTAATGGTGAGCAAGCCAGACGGATTTATAACCAGAGATATCCCGATCGTGCTTTGCCAGATAGTAGAACCTTTTCTAATATTCATGGTCGTCTTGTTGAAACTGGTTCTGTCCGAGAAGGAACATCTGAAGGTAGACCTCTAAGTGTGAGAACACCTGAAATTGAGGAAGCAGTGCTGCACGGAGTCGAATAACATCCTGAAACGAGTACGAGGAAGATCGCTAGACACTTAAATGTTTGCCATCAAATTGTTTGGAGAATTTTAGTGGATTTTTTGTTATATCC